AGGGAATGGCAAGCAGAGGGAGTAGGAGCTAGACTAATGATACTGGATTTCTAGGAAGAAGAGTCCCCTATGCAGAAAGGAGCCCTGCTCATAGGGGCTCACAGAGACTGAAGTGGCAGTTATAGAGAGTGCATGAGTCTGTACTAGGTCCTCTGCAAATATGTTATGGTTGTTAGCTTGGTGTTTTTGTGAGATTCCTAACAGTGGGAGTGAAGGTGTTTCTGACTCTTCGCCTTCTCTTGGGAACCTTTTCCTCCCACTGGGTTGCCTTGCCCAGGCTTGATATGAGGGTTTGTGTCTAGTCTTACTGTAACTTGTTATGTTGTGTTCAGTTGGTATCCGTAGGAGGCCTGCTCTTCTCTAAAGAGAAACAGAGGAGGAATGGATCTGAGGAAGAGGAGAGGAACTGGAAGGAGTAGAGAGAGGGAAAACTGCAGTCAGGATGCAATGTATGAGATAATAATAATAATTTTTATTTTGCAGTCAAACTATAGTCCAAGGGCCAGAAACCTATAGTGTCCTAGAAAGAATATTCTAGAAATAATTTTTCTAGAGAATGCTTTGATTTTATTATTTTTTAAAGTAAATTTCAGTCACAGTTAGAGTTTAGGAATCACTTAAAATTTCTGAAAGCTCAAAGAAATTCCTGTGTATAGTTTTATAGGTACTGAAATTCTACCATAGAAGCTTTATCTGTTCCCCCAGATTTCCTCTCCCCTTCATCTCAACATTGCCATGGAGACTCACCACACATGTACAGCTTCAGTACACCAAAGAAGTAATAAGGACCATGCCTCTGCATTCTTGGTGCTCCCTACACAGTGCGGGTGACATGACACAGGGCCATAAGAAGGAGTGATTATATGTGAAATCAAGAACTTTTCTCTAGGCAGTCATACATATTTCATCATGAGTGCCCTTCTCAGATGTCTGCTACCAAAACTGAGGATGGAACTCAGTCACGGAAGGAACTCCTTGCCAGCCCTTTGTGTGGATGGGGCAGTTCTCCCAGAAAGCATTGTATTAGCCCATTTAGTCTGTCATAACTTAGCATCCCAGACTGGTCGACCGGAAGCTGCATGTTCAGAACCAAGTACCACAATGACTAGTTTGGGGTGAGCCTCTCCCTAATTGGAAGGTCTCCTCCATCCCTTATGTGGTCTTTCCTCTGTGTTTATGAAGTCCCATCTCCTTTTTCTTATTGGAAAACTAGTTCTCTTAGATCAGGGTTTTCCCTTCAGAAGTCATTCAACCAGATGCTTCTTTAAAGACAGATGGGTGAGTCATATTTGGGTTGAGTATTTGGATGTCTGAATTTGGAGGAGACACAATTCAATTCATCACAGACACCAAAACGAAGACCCAGAATTAGAAAACAGGAGAGTAACCCAGCTCAGTAACAGTCCCCATAAGCCTCCTGTCACCTCCAACAATGCAACACTAGAAATGGGGGAAAATGCAAGCCCCCTTCGTCCACCCCAGAAAACACCAGACATCCTCTTAAAAATCAACCTCAAAATTTCCATAATAAAATATATCTTCTCCAATCCCACCCCAGTGTCTAAACAGATTGCCACCTAGAATGGGGACCTTCAGTAAAAACCTCAGGAGATTTTTGCCAACAGTAGACTAAATTACACTGAAAAACCACAGGGCTGAAATAATTTGTTTCTGTTTTCCATCTATCTGTAGAAGACAGAAAGCAACAATAGTAGTTTATTGAAAGAAGTGTGGGAAAATCCTGTATGGAATTTGTATCTTAAACTTCTGGCTTATTAACATGAGAAAGGCGGAATAAGCCTTAGGAAAAACGTTGAAATTATTAGTCCTTAGGGAATTTACTGCCTCGTGATGAAATTTGGGTACCTGCTGCCCTGAAGCACTTGGGGAATAATTCAAGCCTCACAGCAGAGTGTCCACAATTCAGTTTTAGGATATGTAATAAACTTTGTCAGCAGAGGTGTGATGGCTGAAGAGGTTATTACAGTGGACTGAGAGGCACTCAGAGGCCCTTGTGGATGTCCTTCCAGAGGGGCCCATGGGAAGGTCTCCTAGGCATCAGAGTCTTCCAGCTAGGGTTCTCTTTGGCACCACCACCCTTCTGTGGTTGGTGAAACATCAAAGAATCTACAGAACAGGCCCCCTATGGGGACCGAAAGGAAAAGAGGAAGATAGGAGATTCCTATTTCACTCACAACAGCAGGGTGTCCCTGAGCTGGATCCCACAAGCTGCACCTCATTGTGTCTGCAGCACACCCACCCTCTCTCTCTGCTCACTCCCTGGTGACAGATCTTCCTCAGAAAAGAACATCAGCTTCCTTTACTTTAACCCTAGGATGGTTTCACAGGATCATCTCCTCAACGCCCTGCAACACACCCTGGGCCTCCTTAGACAGTATCAGCTCAACTCCTTTTCTTGTAAACAGACATCTCTGCCTTGCTGGGAGTTCCAGGGGAAGCCTGGAGTCTTCATAGCCAGTTACTAACTTTTCTTGCATCTCCCTGTGTGGCCACTCCAGCAGTGACTCTCCAACTGGAAAGAGCCTGCTTTGGCAGGAGGCTGGCTCCAGGCTTCAGAGTTCTCCCATGAGGAGTGTCTCTCTGGAGTCATGGAGGATATTGGGTTCCAGATCACACAGTGAGATTCCACCATTGTGTTAAAGCCTTGACTTTGACTCAGACTCCCAGAGACATTGTATTAATGGGATATGCTCAGTCCTGAACTCGACTTCTCCTTATTAGTCCATGATCTTGTGTCTTTCTGCACCTTTTTGTGTGCATGAGGTACCACATTTTTTTCAGGTCCAGAAAGTCACTCATGTTTCTCTTGAAAGCCAGCCAGATGGGAGGGAGAGAGCAAAAGGGAAGTCTCAGTAGCAACATTTACTGGGAGGACACAGAGTCTAACCACTGAACTGTCTGCGTTTTAAATCCAGGCATTACTTAGGAGTGACTTGCTAGGGTGAGAGACATGTCCGCCTCCTTTTGTCTGTAAGCTCTTCACTCAGACAAGCAGACCTTTCTTCTTTTGCATAGGTATCGAAATGCTAGTAGCAAGTTGTGTGCCAGTGAGTATTGATACCTTGCCTTGGAAATGGGAGGATTGGGCAGAGAGCTAATACTTGCCATGTAGCTTCCTCCCGGGGATGTGGGAAGGATTAATGAAATGTTATTTTTGTTGCAGTTGATACTCTGGACTAAGCACGGGATACTGGAATTAGGGAGATTTAGTTAACCGAGCAAAGGGGGTGACCAACTGCTGGGGTTCACAAAGGGCCTAGAGGATGGTTCAGTCTGAAAAAGCTTGCCTGGCAAACATGTGGACCTGAGCTTGATCCCCAGATCCAGAGCCCACCCACATAAGAAGGCTCTATTGGGTGGCATGCTTGCAATCCCAGCACTGAGGAGGTAGAGACAGGGAGCTCCCTGAGGCTTCAAGCCAAGGAGAAACAGGCGGTGAACCGTGGTCCTCAGAGTGACACCCAAGGTTGTCTTCCAGTCTCCACTGTCAGGAGCACGTGTGCGCCGGCGCACGTACACCCACACCCACACACATACACACACACACACACACACACACACACAGACACACACACACACTTAAAATTCAATCAATCAATATTTAATAAGATGTAAAAATAAAACAAGGATTTTTTCTGGGAAAATGGGGAGGAGGGTATAAAGGTTTTCTTGTGAAAGCTGTTTGCTGGAAGTTTGCTGGGATGTGAGGCTGTGTCCAGGTGGAGGCTTCCTGACCTTGAGGGTTATGATTTAAGACAGGGGCAGGGACTGCACATCCACAGACTCTGGCCTTAAGCCTTTCCCATCTCAAAGGCCTTCACCGTCATCAGCCAGTGTGTGGACTTGGTGTGCAAATAGGAAGTGGGGAAGGCAGAGGCAAAACACCCCCATGTGTGTGTTGAAGGACACAGTCCTTCTGAGGTGAGTGTGTGTCAGGGACAATGGGGACAATGCCTGTGAGCTAAGCGGGCCCCAAGTGAAGTCAAGGCACACAGGAGGATGGTCAGCTATGCAAAGCTATAGCCAATGAGGGGCTGATCTAAACCAGGCACAACTGTAGTCCCAGCTTTTGGAGGGCAGCTGAGGCAGTATCATTGCGAGACCCTATCTCAAAAAACAAAAACAAAAACAAACAAAAAAACAAGAACAGACGTTGTGCCTCAGTTAATAGAGTGCTTCCCTTGCAGACACACAGCACTGGGCTCAATCACCAGTACTGCATAAAACCGGGCAGGATAGTACAAACCATAATCCCAGCAGTAGGGTTGTGGAGGTAGGAGGATCAGGTCAAATTCATCCTCAGCTCTACAGGAACTATGAGGCCAGCCTGGGCTACATGAGACCCTGTCTCAAAAAACAATCAACAAAACCCTAAAGATAGTGGTGTTCTTGTGATAATATCTGTTGGAAGTAAAGATAGTTAGTGGTGTTCTTATGATTGTACCTGTTGGAAGTGGAGAGTGGGAACATCAGTCAGGTCTCAGAGTTCTAGGTTTTAACGTTCTGGCTTCTATACTTCTGGGCGGTATGTGAGAAACCTTTTTTTTTTAAATATTTTATTTATTTATTACATATACAGTGTTCTACCTACATGCCAGAAGAGGGCACCAGGCTGAATTGTAGATGGTTGTGAGCCACCACGTGGTTGCCGGGAATTGAACTCAGGACCCCTGGAAGAACAGCCAGTGCTCTTAACCTCTGAGCCACCTCTCCAGCCCCGAGAAACTTTTTAACATTATGTATTGATGTTGTTTGACATCAAAGCCCATGATCTTATAAACACAAATGCTCAAAATAATGCTTCTTAATTACTGACTGCATACCAAGATCACCCAGGAAAAGCAACAATGTCAAAATGACTTTGGGTCCTACCCTATATCATTATAGTATGGATGAGAGGCCCCTCCCTTAGATATTTCTAAAAGTTCTAACCTGCACCGGGAAACATGATGGCAGGCTAGGAGGATTGTTTTAAAGTATTGTTTAAATGAACAACTTTTAATAAATACTGTATTACATATATACAATATAAATATTCTGCATATAAATGTGTGTCCCGTATGACAGCGATAACTGAAGTTCACCCAGTCTTGCAATGTCTTCAGTAGTGCTCATTCTGTGAGACAAAGTAAACAAGAGAAAGTATAGGGATAGTGGCCCACACCTGTCATCTAGTACCCAGAGGAACGATGATCAGGGAGTCAAAGCTATTCATGTCTAAATAATGAGTGTGAAGCTAGCCTGAGCTATATTTTGAATGTTAAAAAACATAACTACCACCAACAAAATCTCACCTAAACACAAAAGAACATTGGGGAGAAGGGCAAATGCTCAACAAACAAAACCCAGCAAAGAGTGGCCATGACAAAAAACGGCCTTTTTTTCTCCTTCTGTAGTAGGAATAAAGTTAGGAACAGTTTAGAGCGGTTCATAAGAAGGGTACTGGGGTGGACTCAGGAATCAGGAAATGTGACTGTTAGTTTGCTGCTGAGATGGTCAACTTAAAAGCAAGAAAGGCTTTATTGGAGGTTCCAGTAGGCTTCAGCCATCCATAGGCTTGTTGTTTTCTGCTGGGAGCTGCCCATCCATCGTAACCAGGAACACATGTCCAAAGCAACGGCTTGCCTAATGAAACAAGAAGAAACCAGTGCCTTATGTTCCCGATCAGGACACATCTACCTACAATGACCTAAAACCTCCTGGTAGGCCCCACCTCTTGAAGATGCCAAGACGTCCCAACAACTCCTAGCAAAGGCCTTTGAAGGGCATTTCACACACAAACTGTTCCTTCTTCTACAAATCACCCTGATGTCCCTTTTGTCATTTGCCTGTTGGCCCCTCCCTTGCTTTCTACGCACTTGATACTAACCAGGTGAAAAGCCAAAGACATAATCTCATGTGTTTCTGACTTAAACAGCACAAGGGACTTCTGTTTGCCCCATTCATTTTTGTATCTATCACAGTGTAGCTTCATCCGCACAACAGCACTTATTGAACACATTCTGTGTGCTTCATTTATTGAACACTACGGGGCAGTGGTGGCGCAAGCCTTTAATCCCAGCACTTGGGAGGCAGAGGCAAACGGATCTCTGTGAGTTCGAGACCAGCCTGGTCTACAGAGCTAATTCCAGGACAGGCTCCAAAGCCACAGAGAAACCCTGTCTCGAAAAACAACAACAAAAAGCCATTTATTGAACGCCTTCTGTGTACTGCATTCTTTTGCTTTTGAATGTAACTGGCCATTTTCTCAGCCTGCATTGACGTGATGTTGGGATCAACCAGCTCTCACACATCCTTACATCCTAAGAAGTCTAGATCATGCACAGGACTGATGCTTCTCCAGGCACGGTACAGCCTAACTCAGGGTGACAGGAAAGGGTGACTCTAAAGCAGAGTGGGTGAGAGGCTAAGACACCACAGTCACCTCAGAGTCACAGGAGAGAATTGGGAGAAAGCCCTGGGGACAAGGCAGAGTGAGATGGAGAAAATCAAACCACCCAGAGATACTAGAAAAGGTGCTCACACCCCTTACTCTATTCTTTGGTCTGTTAAATGGGGATAATGACACTGTGTTTACCTACCTTAGAGAGACATTATCAGCTCTATTTAAAGGCTCTTCCCATGAAAGCTGCTGTGTAATTACCAAGAACAGCTATGATAAAGAAACCTAAATACAACAGCGAATCACCTGGAACCAATTCTCAGGGGAGTTAACTTCTCTGGAAATTTTTAAGGAAAGGCTAGCAGCTCCTCTTTGGGGAGTGCTGAGTCCCATCCCAGCATTATGTTTCTTGAAAGTTAGCTGACTTTTGAAGTCTCCCCCTGTGCAAGGACTCAGGGTCTTCCTCTGCCTGTTTCCCCTACAGGCTAAGTGATTTCCATTTGAAGTTACCTTTTCACGTCTGGTTTTTTGTTTCTTCACATCTTGACTCACAAAGTCTCTTGCATCTAAAATGGATTTCAAGGAAGGCATTTGCCTATAGAATAGGAAAAGAGAAAACATAGATATCATAATCCAAAGGAAAATATTCACCTCATAGATGGCAGGTGATAAAATCATCTGTGATTGTTTTGAAGAGGATTGAGGTTGGGACAACACCTGGTGGGTAAGGCACCCTTAGTTCAAGTGAGGATTTGTGTTCTAATCCTAAACACCCATGAAAACCCCGGCACAGCGGCATTGTTGATAATCCTGGCATCCATACTGATGCACAGACTGCCCTCTAAGCTTCAGACACATGCTATGTCACACACACACACACACACACACACACACACACACACACACACACACACACGCACGCAATTTTAAAAGAAGAGAGTCTAAGTAATCTATCACTAATAGAAGTTAATAGTGATAAGATTCATTGACAAACTATGGATACATGGGGTTGGGAGGGCAGGAAACAGGAACCCTGCTCTGACTTGCTAAGAAAACTGCTTCAACAGAGGCAGGTTGGTGGCAGCTCACTGGAAGGAAAAGGCACTGGTGTGACAGCTCAGGGGGTAACAGTATCCGCTGTCAAGTTGGATGACCTGAGTTGGACCCCTCAGTGGTGGAAGGAGAGAACAGGTTCCTACATGTGCACACCATCCCACAGGCATCCCCACACATTCACATACAAAATAAATAAATGAATGTAATTTTTAAAACCCATAGAATACAGCAAGTGAGTAGAAGACCCATGGGCAAATTAAAAATTGGTGACTTAGCTGGGGTTCATGAGCTACCATTACAGAGAGGACTGCCTGCTAAGGAAGTGGAGAGACTGAATATATGAATGATATCTCGATTGGCGTCAGTGTCAGAAGCCCACTGGTTTCACATTTTTGTTAAGGTTGCTTCAGGATTATTAACTATTCTGGCTATTTCTAAATAGTGTAATATATACTATATGAAAGCCTTCTAGGCAATATAAAACTCCAGAATTCCAGGTGTTGTTGTAAGGAAAATTTTGCATAATAATAATAGCCATCACTTATCAATCGATCACTATGGGAACTACACGAACAATTTTGTATATAATCTAGATGTCAGCTAAGAGGCTTCCCAGGTCTGGTTAGATCACTACAAATCTCATCCAATTTCATGGCTTGTGGAAATGGATTTGTGTCTCTGTACCTTCAAAATTCCTATGTGAAACTTTATCTCCTATCATAACTGTTTTGGGGTGTGGGGTCTGTGAGTGGAGTCACAAGGGTGTGTGTGTGTGTGTGTGTGTGTGTGTGTGAGTGTGAGTGTGAGTGTGTGTGTGATGTAATTAGTGGACTCTAAATAGGAGACAGGAAAAAGAATGCTTTCCTCCCACCCCTAATTCCTAACCCTAACCTCTTGAAGAATAAACAAAAGGTTGGCCATATCTGCAGACATGTCCATATTCTCAGTCTCCAAATGGAAACATGAAAGTCTGTTGTTCATCCTAAGGTAATTTTGTTACACAGCCTGAACTAACTCAGACACGCATTCTTGCATTCTCATATCTGTGAGTTTTGAGAGCTCCTACCAGGTCCTCCCATACATCAATGCCATGGTTACAGGTGCTTTAATAAAACAACACTCATCCACCAGTTGGCCTGGTCAAGACCAGGGAAATTTGAAGTTCATGGGAAAAAGTCACAAATTCTTTCCCTCTTGAACAACACAGAGGCCTGAGACCCTGACTAAAATTAGGTAGAAGGTGAGGCCTCACATTGGAAGCTTGACGCTGACCTCCAGGAGAGTTCAGGGACAGAGAGGTCAGATATGCAAATGACACAAAGTTAAGGCTTATGTTGATTATAACACTGACACAAAACACACTCTGGAGTGGGGGCTGGGAGGGTGGAGTGTGGGGGGTGGGGTGTGGGGGCAGAGGCAGGCAGATTTAGTGAATTTGAGGCCAGAGCCTGGCCTACAGAGTGAGTTTCAGGACAGATAGGGCTATGTAGAGAGACCCTGTTTTTAAAAGCCTACATAAATAAATATTTAGTACAAACAGCAGAGGTAAGTTTGGGTCCATTTCATAAGTTGTTGAAAATTTTGCCCAAGCCAAAATTCATTTTTATTCATGAAACTCAAGCCAGCAACTCTAACAGAAATTTTCTACATCCAATATCCTAACACAGTACAATCTGTAGGTATACCAATGAGGAAACCTCTGTTTTCCATAATTAAGCCATAATGTTTCTATAAAAGTATAAAAATTTGTATGTAGAGGAAAATGTTGCATTCTTAATATCCAGTAATCTGTGTGGCACGACAACATACACAGGACAGAGTGCACGTGTCCTATGTTCATAACAAGAAGTGCACGTGTGCTATGTTCAGAATAAGAGATGCGGTGAAGTCATTCGGTGCAACATGGGCAAGCACTACCCCAAACACCAGCGATTCTTCACGAGACTTATTTTGAATTAATTTTTTGTCATTGTGGATTCAAGAGCCTTTTACTGTTTCCAATAATTTTTTAAAAGAAATTGTACTCTAGGAGATCTATGAGGGTTATTTAACTTACTATAGGGAGTTTGTGAAATTAACACTCCCACTACTTACAACAAGACAGGGGATTGAAAAGTAAGGTCTGTTTCATCATACATTTCTAAATAGCTAAGAAAGATCACTTGTAAAAAAAAAATAAGGGTTGGAGAGATGGCTCAGCAGTTAAGAGAGCTTACTTTTCTTGCAAAGGACCAAGGATTGATTACCAGCACCCACATGGGACAGCTCACACTGTGGTTGGTTTTTATGTGTGGTTTTTTTTTTGTTTGTTTTTTTATTTGTTTGCTTGTTTGGTTGGTTGGTGTTTTTGAGACAGGGTTTCTCTGTAGCTTTGGAGTCTGTCCTGGAACTCACTCTGTAGACCAGGCTGGCCTCAAACTCACAGAGATTCACCTGTCTCCACCTCTCGAGTAGAAGAAGTGCTGGAGTTAAAGACATGCTGCCACGAATGCCTGTTAGACTTGGTTTTATTATTATTTATCTTCACACTTTACTCTTGGGGGTGGGGGCGCAGGGAGGTCTGTCACCAAGCTCCCAAATAATCACATAGGAGTCTTATTCTTACTTATGAATGGCCAGCTTTAGCTTGTTTCTAGCCATCTTTTCTTAAATTATCTAGTTTATCTTTTGCCTCTGGGCTTTTACCTTTCTATATACCTTTCTTTACTTCCTACTCCGTGGTTTGCTGTTTAGTTGGGTGGCTGGCCACTGGAATCCTCCTCTTCTCCTTTAGCTCCTCCTGGATCCCCTCTTCCCAGATTTCTCCTCCTATTCATTCTCTCTGCCTGCTGGCTCCACCTATCCCTCTTCTGCCTAGCTATTGGCCATTAAGCTCTTTATTAGACCAATCAGGTGTTTCATACAGGCAACGTAACACAGTTTCACAGAGTTAAACAAATGTAACATAAAAGAATGCAACACATCTTTGCATAATTAACAAATGTCCCACAGCATAAAGAAATGTAGCACAGCTTCCACAACATGCAACTGCCAATAACTGTAGTGACAGTTGCTGTGAATCTGACACTCTCTTCTGGCCTCTGCAGACACCAGGAGCCCATGTGATGCACATGCATACACCCAGGCAAAATATCACACACATGAAATAGAGATAAATAATTGTTTAAAAAATACATTCCTGCATCATGTTGAGAGCCAAACCAAGTCAGTAGCCCTGAGTCTGGATATGTAGCTGTTAAGATCTTCACAGAGGCTGATGTCTTAGATACTTTTCTATTGCTGGGAAGAGACACCATGACCAAGGCAACATATAAAAGGATAGAGTGTATTGGGGCATGCTGACAATTTCAGAGCATGAGCTCATGATCATCATGATGGGGAAGGTGACAGCAGACAGGCAGGCATGGGCTGGAGCAGTAGCTGAGAGTTTACATACTGAGACGCCAAGGACCAGGCAGCAAGAACCAAATGAAACAGTTTGGGTTTTTGAAACCTTCAAAGCCTACCCCCAATGACACAACTCCTTCAGCAAGCCCACACCTGCTAACACTTTCCAAACAGGACCAAGCATTCAAATATACTATAGGAGCCTATTAAGGTCATTCACATTCAATCATCCACAACTGAGAAGCACTACTGTTTTGATTTTGTAATGTTATGTGTATGAAAGTTTGCCTGTATGTATATGTGTGTGTGTGTGTATGTGTGTGTATGTGTATGTGTATGTGCATGACATGCTTACCAGATGCCCTGTGAGGCTATAAAAAGGCATTGAGTCCCCTAGAACACAATTGCAGGGAAAAATGTAAGTGCTGGGAACCGAACCTGAGTCCTTTGCAACTTTGCAAGAGTAGCAAGTGCTTGTAACTGCTAAGCAGTCTCTGCAGCCCCATATTACTGAACAACAAAACAAAAACCCTTCATCCATAGAGTCAGGTCTCTAAGAATTAGAAACTGAGAATCTAGACTATGAAGCTAAAATGTTTAAGCTGCTCAGGTCATCCTGGGAACCTGTCAAACTTGGGGCTCACTAAACTCTGTAGCCTCAATGTTTTCTTCTAGTTTCATGATTTAATCATTTGTGCAACACTGCAGAATTCTTTGTTTTACAAACATGGAAATTATATAGTATCTATACAATGAATTTTGTGCAAACGCCTATAATCCTGCTGAATTTTTTCACTGATTAAAATTCTTCCTGAAATCTCAGGAATAGGAACTTTTCCCTGTGTATCCTGGAACAGATCACTTTATCTGGCCTGTTTCCCAATTATGGGAGTTCCAAATCACTGAGATATGAATAAATGAGACTTTACCACACATAGAACACCAGTATGATGAAAAATCTGTTTACAACAGGAGGCTTTATGTCGTCTTTCAATCATTCATCCCCTAAACCAGAGTAGGGATGCTGTAGAGCGCACGCGCACACACCCGGATATGACCCACGGTAAATGTTGGTGGTCACTGAGTCGGAATGAAGGACACCTTCAGCTTCCATCACCTTCCCCGCCTTATATTTTTGGATACAAGAATCAA